AAAGGAGGTAAACTACTCTCATTCCAACCTTGGTTGCAATTTTTGTTTCCAAAATTGAATGGTTATCTATTTCGACAATTGTTTGCACTATGTTTCTACAAGCATCTTTTGTTGCATCACATTTAAACTTCTTTTGTATTCATCTTAATAAGGTGGTTATAAGTTTTTTGTTTTTTCCTCCACTCAATTCGTGGTCATGCACCAAGTACTACCAAAAAAAGTCACCCTATTTTGCTCTATCATGTCCTTTTTCTCCTTGTTTTTTCTTTTTTCTTTTAAGAATTCAATGACATTCTTTATTATGGTTGTTGGTGATACTTATCTATTCCTTTCAAATCCTGGAGAATCAGATTATGGGCATCTGTGCAATTAGCATGGTGGCAGCTGTAGTACACTTGTCGATCCCGACTTACATCCTCACTAAGTAAATAGAAAAAATAAAAAATAAAAAAATTCAAACTCTATTGAGATTCATGTTACATGGAATCTTCAAAAATCAAACAGCCGTATTGGACACTTTACACTTGGATAAGGGTGTGAGATATGTCTTGATAATTCCCATCGGACACTTCTTAACATTGTCTTTATATATATATATATATATATATTTGTTGCATAATTGTTATAAAATGAATAAAATGTCTTTTTGACACAATGTTACATAAAATCCCATTTTATCCCAAAAATAAAATAAACATATGAAAATATGATTTTTTTTTTATCAATCCGCTTACCCTTGAATTAGAGGTTTGATGGGCCCAACCTCTAGATACACTTCCGCACCCTACATTGGTACTCGAGTCCTTGTAACATAGATTAAGATTTGAGTTGAATTTAAAAGGTAAAAGATAAAAGATAATGTGAATCGCTAAATCCCATAAGCTGTTGAAACATCTATTATGTAGAATGAACAAAGCAAGCAACTTTTTGACTTGTCACCTCTACTTTTGAGTCTTTGATATGATATCTGTTTGCTTTTACTGTTTATATTGAATAAAATTTGTTGGGCTTTCAGGAGCAAAGACAACAATGAAGAGCCCCAAAAGGGTTATGAAAAGTAGCTATGAACACAAAGAACTTGTTGACAATGATGTCTCTTGTTTTAGTCCAAGAAGCCTGTTTGCCTTGCCTCCCGATAGTAGCTCCCTTATGCTAGACTCTTTGCAGTTTATGGGTGAGAGTTCCGATCAAGATCTGCTGCTGGATGTGCCGTCCAACAGTTCCTTCCCGCAGGCGGAGCTCCTTCTCCCGACTTCCAGTTTTGGCGCCCAAGCGAGCACTAGTAGTAGCTCAATACACCCACAACTTATCCGACCCTAAGTGCTTTATCAAGACACTACTTTTAACTAGGCTACTTAGGTTACTTTCTGTTAAAAATACGTGTTGGAATAGACTTATTTTGCACGCCAAAAACTTACAAAAGTCATATGTGAATGAAGGTTTGATGTTGCCTTTTCTTTTCTTGGCCTATGTTAAAACTTGAAAATGCCAAGGGGATTGAGTGTGGGTGGGCTTTTTGTATAGGTTGACACAAGAAGGTTGTAATATATAAGTTTCAAAATGCACAAGAGGTGGTAAGTGAAGAGATTTTGGATAAACCTACACTTCTGTTGGCAACATTTTGTGGTGATAAAATTTACTCTCGTCTTTTGTTTCTCCCCAAATTTAAACTTGTGGGATGCATGTAAAGGAAGGCTAAATTAATCTCAAGAGGTTAGCTTGGTGGCAGGGTTTGGATTTTGGGGGGGTGTTCCCTCCAAAGTTGAAGATCGAAACCTCTTAGGTATCGAATTGGGAGAAAATTCTTGATTTAAGCATGGTGCACTTGTGAAAAATTCTTTGCCATCCGGACACTCCGGTGTCTATCCAAAAAAAAATGGAAAGGAAGGCAAAATCTATTTCATACTTTCTGTTTTCTTTTCTTGGTACAATACTCGAACAAGAGAAACTCCTCTTAGTTATATATATATATATATATATATTATTAAAGTGTTTATCATTAAGTATGCATAACCACTTTAAATTTTGTTAAATAATAATGTTTTTAGGGCACTTGTTATCTAGACTTCAAAAATATATTGACACAGACATGGAGAAGCATGCACAATGATGTTTATTTTATTTTATTTTATTAATTATCGTTAAAGTGAATGGGTAGCTAAAACATATTGAGTTAGGTAAGTTGCTAAGCTAATTTGATGTACAACACATTATTGCTTTTGAATGTCTTAAGCATGTTTTGAATAGAGACTTAGGATATGACTATTTTATTTTGGGATAAAAGTACTTCATTCTATATTTAATTCGCATTTTGTGATTTGAAATAAATTTATTCTTGGAATACTTTAATCACATGTGCACGATATTTTGTCCGGTGAGGACAATTTATGCCAGGATAAGTCTTTCATCGGAAATAAATAAATAAATAAATAAAAAATACACATGATAACTAATTCCACCTTTATTTTAGCTAGAAACCAAAAATCAAGAATTTCTTTTTCCTTCTCTCCCCTATCCACATACAAAAATCAAGAATCACAATAAATCATCATTTCGCTGGCTTTAAAAGGTTCTCTGAACCAAGTACTTCTTTTTCCTTCTCTCCCCTTCTCTGACGTCTATTTTCCTTTTTATCTTCTCATTTGTTCTTTTGCTGAGAAAAGATGTGGAAAGTAGATGCTGGGCTGCCAGCCATAAATTGATAATTTTTTTTAGAAGGCCTGAGCTGATGAGCTTGGTTGACCCGGGTTTGGTGTTTTTTTTGGAACTATTTGTCCCATTCTCACCTATTCTTCGGCCTTTGAACACAAGTCATACAAAGAAGACCTGCATACAACTCTGGACATATCTGTAGATTCCAGTTAAAATTGCTCTAGAGCTAAAAGCTGTTTGTCCCTACTATAACTCCATAGCAATTCCGATTTGGCATCTAAGCTGGTATTAAAAGTCTGGGTTATTCGTTCTTAGCTATGCATTAAATAATAAAGCAATGGACAACAGTAATCGGTCAATTGTAAAGATTTGCATTTCATTTACCTCTATGGATCCTTGCCAAAGGCGTGCCTCAATTTCCCTGATGATCCTAAACTTGATCAGAATCACTGCTGATATCCAATGTCTAAAATCCTTGCAGAAACAAACAACTATAAAAAAATGTGTCAAGAGGTCCTCTTTTTTTTTTTTAATAACTCGGTATCCGGTCCATTAGGCCGACTAATGACGGAGACCAATTCCACTGTCCACTTTCGGGGGTCTCAATTAAAGTCAAGGCAAAGCCCTGTATAGACTGGCCTCAAGTAATTGTTTGCACCTAGTTTCGAACCTCAGACTTTAGAGGGAGCATACCCCAAGCCCCAAGCCTTCACCATTAGGCCAATCCCTTGAGGTCCTCTGGGCGCTATGATAGATTGAAGGTTGTGCTTCTCAATTTGGTCCAAGTGTGTATTGGCAGCAGTGATGGAGGTAATAGCATATGAAGATATACTGTTCTACCGATCAGGGCAGGGCATCACTGCATTGGTAGTATAGGTTACTTGGTCAACTGCCTGGATGTAATCTCATTGGTTGCCTGATCAGATTATGTGAACTTTGTAGGCAACAACTTGGCTCAATTATCTCACAACAGGTCGGATTCTGCGTACTCCCACAATTGGTTTTCTGTGTTAGCTATGCATTAGATTAGATCAACACGTGATTGCCAAATGGGGTTTTGAAATTCTATTTTTCATGACAAGAGGCCCAATTGACATGGTTCCATCTTGATAAATAGTTCTGATGACAGTTCTTTAGTTTTCATCTTTTGCAAGACTACTATATCTAGCATAGGAGGGGGTATTTTGTGTAATGGTTACACATGTAACTTTTTCCTAAAATAAAGCTCCTGGTGTGTATCGTTGTTTACCTCTACACACTACTACATAACCTAAGAGTTGTGCTGTTCAAGCATTTTGCTCTTGACATTATCTGCATATGACCTTTTTACCTAGGTGCTCAATTTGTACGGACTTTTAGTTTAATGTTTCTATTCAATGAACATGGTTATTGGCAAGACCTAGTCGGGGGTATGATAGGGTGTTGTTATGTGAGAATAGGGGGTTTCATTACCTGACCCTCTAATCATGGATACAGCTTTTGACTTTATCATGCGGATTCGAACTTTCCAGAACGTGGGAAGGATCCCCTTGCAAACAAGGAAGCAAACCACCCCTTGCAGACAGGTAAACTAGCCAGCCCCGATCGAGTGGGACACTGACTATGAATCCTGACTTTTAAGCCAGTCCTATTGAAGGTAACCAACCGAGGTAAGGAAGCAGCCAGCAGAGATAAAAGTAAGAATAACGAGTGCTCGGAGCAGCAGACAAGTGCTTGGTAGGCCAACAGCCCAGTGAACCGGGCGGGGCACTCGACGAAAGGGGGGCACACAGAGTAAGTATGAGAAATTGGCCCCACTCTGCTTTCTTAAAAGCAAGGACCACTACGGGAGGTCAAACCAAGGACCTATGGAAGTTGGGGCTGGCAAAGAGACTGGCCCAGGAAAAGCTAGAGGTGGGGTCTAGCTCTAAATCAACGGAGGAGCTATTGGGCCTCTTTAAAGAGGTCCAAAGTATTCAAAGAATACAAGGCCTCTTTCAAGATCTGTTAAAGTCAAAATTGACTATTTGTCCCTCTGTTAGAGGTGTTCCAGAAATGTCTGAGATCGAGTAAATAGCTCTACAAATGAATGGATTGGATCGACTTGGAAAATGGAAAGATTTGTACAAGTTATATGTTTCGTCACTCAGACTAGAGCCTAGAGTATTGTACATGGACGTGCCGTAGGAGTAACTCATTACCTTCTGGGTGAAATTGCCACAACATAGGCATTCTTCTTAGCAAGAATTATAGCGGTTCTAAACAGGAATAAGCTATGTGCCATAAAAGGTCAACTGATGAGCTACTGGCTAAAACCGAACCAAAGTTTGACATGAGATGGGAGATGAGATGTAATAATTATCTGCGTTACAATAAGCCTAACAAAATTCATTTTATATACAAAATATCAAATGAAATTCATAATACACATCCAGTACCACCAAACTAGAAAAATTAGAACTACTACTACCTTAAAAAGTTCTGAAGTATTAGCTCACCTGCCCAAAAAAAGACTGTAAACAAAACCACCTGAAATGCTGCAATAGCTGCCAGTGAAGGTCCATATTTCTACAGAAATTCATCAGAATTTTCACAACCCACCACACCAAAATCCCAACAAGAGCAACCATTTTTTCAATCTACAAACTTAGTCATCATAGCCATCCTGTGGCCACCACCTAGGCCGAGGGAAAGTCATGCCGCACTTCTTGGCAGTTTCCAAGAAATCAACATCCTCCCCAGAACCATCATCTAGCTCCCCTGCAACCATTTTCAAAGCATCCAAAAGATCCTTCATAATCTGATTCTTAGCAGCTAAAGTACCCTTCACCGTCTGTTTCGCTGCATTACTCGACAGCACACTGAAAGTTGATGACAATTCAAGCCGCCCACCAACACCCGTGACCTTTCCGCTTCGATTGACACCACTTGAACTAATATACTTGAAGTTGTCCAAATCCTCTATATTCTTCCTAATGGAACCTCCACCCCCATTTTTTTGCACTTCATCGCCTTCACCGAGCCCTACACCTTCCTCGATTTCTTTCAGAGGCAAATCAACATTCATTGTGTCCTCACAAAATCTTTCACCAATTTCATCAACCCCTGAATCAAGAATTTCAGTACCACCATTTTCATTGCAGTTAGTTACAACCAAATTGGATTCTCTCTGCAAAACCCTAAATTTCCCCAATTCAACACCACCGCTGTCGTCAAACCCTAGATTATCCAAGTCCTTACCCAAATCAACGACACCATCGACCATCGTAGTCTCGAGGCCATTGACGGGGTCGATTTGAGATAGAGAATCCTCCGTAGGGGTATGGAAACTCTCCGGCGGAGACAACATGACGATCATGGTGGGGAGGGGCTCCGACGACAGCGATTCGACGGAGAAGATCGGGGATTCGGTGGAGAAAGGGGAATTAGGGCTTGGTCGGAGAAGATGGTCTTGAGACGACGTCGTGTGGCAGTGTTTGATGATGAGTGAGGTTAAAGGGCCATCGTCGTCGTTCATTTTTCTTTGATAGGGTTGGGTAGGGTTTGTTTTTTGAAGGGTTTGTTATGAGGGTTAGTTGAGTTCCCGCCATTTTGTCTCTCTCTTGATGGGACGTTCCCGCCTTTTTTAATCAACGGTGGGAGATTGAGTTCTCAAGGTCTTTAATTGGTACGCTGTCGTTTTAAGCATTAGTAATGTGCAATCCTACTCACACTTTCGTTACGTTTGTTTCGCGGATCGAGTGGTGGGAGTGAATTATAAATGAAGAAAAATGTTTTAAAATTTTAAAAGAAGTGCTCTAAAATAACATTAATTATTATTTATTTTTATTTTTTTGTATTTTGTTTTTTTTTTTATTTTTTTTGGGGTGTGCCATCTAAGTAAGAGATTGTTTGGGATGACCTAAATAAGTGTATTTTTTGTCTTTTTACGAAAAGATGTGCAGAAAAGTAGAGAGGTGATGTGATGAAAAAAAGATAAAAAGATGGATTATTTTATGTATGCCAAACTTAGCCTAAATGTCTCTATTAAAGT